CTACCTCGCGCCTGTGAGTTAGACCGTCGCGTCGCGCAGCCGTGTCGTGCGGTACGGCCTCCTGTGAGTTAGACCGTCTCGTCGCGCAGCCGTGTTGTGCGGTACGGCCTACCTCGCGCCTTTGAGTTAGACCGTCCCGTCGCGCAGCCGTGTCGTGCGGTACGGCCTACCTCGCGCCTGTGTGTTAGACCGTCCCGTCGCGCAGCCGTGCCGTGCGGTACGGCCTACCTCGCGCCTGTGTGTCAGACCAACCCTTCGCGCAGCCGCGTCGTACCGCCTACCTCGAGCCTAGTTAACACTTTTCCTCTGCTTCATAGGCATCCTCCAGAAGGGCGACGGCTCCACGCTGCACCTGAAGCGCTACCCGCGCACCATCAAGGTGGTGGTGGGCACGGGGCTGCAACGGTCGCTGCAGTGCGAGGACTGCAATGGCGTGGCGCGGGACGCGCGCCTGCTCACCCCGGTCGCGCTGGCCTCCGGCCCGGACGGCTCGCTCTACGTCGGCGACTTCAACCTCATCCGACGCGTCACCCCGGACGGCAACATCTATACCGTGCTGCAGCTCAGGTAAGTTCGTACCGGCACCCGTCCATTCTCTATTGTGTCGCCCGTGCAGACCAACTAACGCTCCTATGTATTTCCGCAGCGCAACGCAGGTCTCGCACCAGTACTACCTGTCCGTGTCGCCGGCTGACGGCCACCTGTACGTGTCCGACACGGAGCGCCACCAGATCCTGCGCGTGCTGCAGCTCGGCCCCAACATCGAGGACCCGCGCATCAACTCGGAGCCGGCCGTGGGGTCTGGTGACCGCTGCGTCCCGGGCGACGAGAACCACTGCGGCGACGAGGGTCCTGCCCTGCAGGCGCGCCTCGCGCACCCTAAGGGGCTGGTGATCGCGGCCGACAAGACCATGTACATCGCGGACGGCACCAACATCCGCGCCGTGGACCCGAAGGGCATCATCCACACTCTGGTGGGGCACCACGGCCACCACAACCTGTGGCAGCCCATCCCGTGCTACGGTGCCATCCCCGCGGCCCAGGCGCAGCTGCAGTGGCCCACGGGGCTGGCGCTCAGCCCGCTCGACGGCTCGCTGCACTTCATTGACGACCACCTCGTGCTCAAGCTGACCAGCGACCGCAAGGTGAAGGTGGTGGCCGGCATGCCGCTGCACTGCCACGCGTCCACGTGCGGGGCCAAGGACCAGCCGGGCCAGCAGGACACGCCGGGCAAGGAGCAGGCAGAGCCGCAGCAGGCAAAGACGGGCAAGCAGCAGGAGGCGCAGGCCGCGGGCGCGCGAGGCGCTACCCAGCCGGACGACAAGAAGAAGCAGGAGGAGCTCGAGAGCGAGGAGGGCTCCGAGGCCACCTCCACCGTCCTGGGCAGCATCCTATCCATCGCGTTCAGCCCCAACGGCGAGCTGTTTATCGCCGAGGCCGACTCGCGCAAGGTGAACGCCATCCGCGTGGTGGACTCGGCCGGTCGGATGTCCGACTTCGCTGGGCGGCCGCAGCCTCAGGACGCCTTCTTCCCGATGCACGGCTGCTCCTGCGAGAGTAGGAACGCCACATGGGGCCCCGGCACCACCGCGGGTCCTGGTCCTAGTCCCGCCTGTACTTGCGGTGGCCTGCCCCAGGACGACCCTTCGGCAGGATCCTCAGCCGGTAAGGACTCGCGTGAGACACTGTTGTCGTCCAACGCCAAGTTCACGTCCATCTCGGCCATGGTGGTGTCGCCCGACGGCGTCTTGCACGTGGCGGACCAGGGCAGCCTACACGTCCTCGCCCTGGAGCACTACCTGCCAACCCACGACGAGAACGGCGAGTTCCGTATCCCGTTCCCGCCCACCGGGGAGGTGTACGTGTTCAACCGGTACGGCCAGCACGTCGCCACACGGGACCTGACCTCCGGCAACACGCGCTACACGTTCCTCTACTCCAAGAACACGAGCTTCGGCAAGCTGTCGACGGTGACGGACGCGGCGGGCAACAAGATCCTGTTCCTGCGCGACTACAGCAACGTGGTGAGCACCATCGAGAACACGCAGGACCACAAGTCGGACCTCAAGATCTCGGGCATCGGCTTCCTGGAGAAGTTCTCCGAGCCGGGCCGCTCCGAGATCGACCTGCACTACGATTCCAACACGGGGCTGCTGACGAGCCGGGCGGACGCCAAGGGTGCGGGCGGCAAGACGTCGATGTACCGCTTCGACGAGCTCGGCCGCGTGACGCAGGTGATCCTGGCCACGGGCGAGACCATCGAGCTGCGCTCGCGCATCTCTCTGGACGACGGGCTGGCCGTGGAGGTGCTGGCCCCGCAGGCCGCCGTCGCCATGGCGACCAGCGCGCCGCAGCAGCCCGCCGCCGACAAGCAGGCCGTGACGCTGCGCATGGCGGGCCGCGGCGCGCGCCGCCTCTTCATCTCGGACGGGCTGCGCGTCAGCGAGGCGGCCAGCTACCGCAACGGCTCGCTCACCGTCCGCGGGCCCTTCGCGCCCTGGGGCGGCGAGCTCACGTGCGCCGCACGCCGCCGCCACCCGCTCCTCGAGCTGGCGCTGCCCGTCGAGGCCGAGATGCTGCCCATGTGGAGCGACCAGGTGGTGTCCGCGTCGCCGTCCGCGCCGGGCCCCAACGCCATGGCGTGGAGCTACAACATCGTGGGCGACGCGGGCAGCTCGCAGCACAAGCTGCACCAGGACCTCTGGGTCAACCACAGCCGTGTGCTGGCCATGGAGTACGACCAGGCCGTCCGCCGGCAGACCTTCTACGACCGCGAGGGGCAGCCGCTGCTCGTCGTCAGCCTCGACCACGAGGGACTCCCGCTCGCCTGGACGCTGGCCAACGGCGGCGCGGCCGTCAACATCTCGTACGACCGCTTCCGCAGGGTGGACTCGTGGCGCTGGGGCAACCAGCTCGAGAAGTACAGCTACGACCGGAAGGGGCTGCTGTCCGAAATATCGACTCCGGAGGACGGCGCGCTCCAGTTCACCTACGACGATCTCAACGTGGTAAGCGCAATCGCTTCTTGAGTAATTCTTTTTATCCTTGACCCAAAATTCCGGGTCTGATTTTTTTTACTCTCAAAAATTAAAGGTATTCATGAAATATGAACCCACGCCAAACCTGGGCTCTGTAGCTCAAACGGTTCAGGAGATATAAATTCTTAAAGTTTTGAGGCAAAAATAGCGGCTGTAAAGGGTGGTGTAGGTATAACTCTATGAAAATGTCCAGTGACTAGACGTATCAACAAAATTTAGCGCATTAGCGTAACTCTCATAGCAAAAATATATGGTCTCCAATTGTCACCAAATTTGGTGTACAGTTTCTCCTAAGGTCCCTTAACATTCTGTAATTTTTGTGGGAAGGTAATATTGAAAAAAAAAATTACTACTTTTTCTATGTTAAATATTTTAAAAAAAGGTTTAAATATTACCTTCCCACAAAAATGAGAGAATGTTAGGGGACCTTAGAAGAAACTGTACACCAAATTTGGTGACAATTGGAGACCATATATTTTTGCTATGAGAGTTACGCTAATATGCTAAATTTTGTTGATATCTTTGATTGAAGGGTAGAAAACTCAAATCCAACTTTTTGACATTGGTGGTTTAGAATCAGTTTTTTACCCTCTTTCAAATGGTCTGGTCAGATTTCACCTCACTGGACATTTTCATAGAGTTATACCTACACCATCCTTGAAAGCCGCTATTTTTGCCTCAAATCTTTAAGAATTTATATCTTCTGAACCGTTTGATCTACAGAGCCCAGATTTGGCATGAGTTCATATTTCATGAATACCTTTAATTTTAGAGAGTAAAAAAAATCACCCGGAATTTTGGGTTTTTGGTAAAGAACTACTCTCTTCTACTTTGTTCTAGTACACCTGCCCCTTGTCGCTAACCTTCCCCTCCTCCTGCCCCGCAGCCCACCGTCATCACGCTGCCCAGCAAGCGGAGGTTCGAGCTGCGCTACGACAGCGACGGCGGCCTGCGGCACATCACGCTGCCCAGCGGCACCCACCACTCGCTGTCCGTGCAGCCGTCGCTGGGCTTCCTGCGCGCCACCTACACGGCGCCCGGCGCCCCGCGGCCCTACCTGCAGCACTTCTCGTACAGCGGGCTGCTGCTGCAGACGGTGTACCCGGGCGACGGCGCGCGCGTCATCTACAAGTACACGGCGTCTGGCAAGCTGGCCGAGGTGCTGCACGGCGACGGACGCACGCGCATCAGCTACTCGGCGCAGACGGGGCTGGCCAGCTCGGTGCAGCACTCGGAGCGCGACCTCGACTACCGCTGGGACTACGGCTACTCGGGCGGCGTGCTCGCCGAGGAGCGCATCGAGTTCGGCCCCAAGACCGGCCTCAACAACGCCAAGATCAGCTACGAGTTCGACGACAACCTGCGCGTCGTCTCGGTGGCGGGCCGCGTCAGCGGCCAAGCCCTGCCCGAGCACACGCTCGCCTACTCGCCGCGCACCGGCGCCGCCACGCAGCTCGGCCAGTTCCAGGTGCAGCGCTCCAACGGCAACGAGACCCGGCTGGCGGACGGCACCGCCGTGTTCACCCGCACCACCAACCGCATGATGCAGGAGGTGCAGGTGGCCGTGACCATCCACAACATGGAGGCCTTCCGCATGGAGTTCTCCTACGATTCGCGTGGGTGAGTAGAAATGCCGTGCCTCTCGCATTTATACCGAAAACTAGTTCCAAGTGTTCGCTAAACGACGATGTTAACCCTTGTCCACTTTCCGTCCGCAGCCGCATCAGCCAGACGCGCACCTACACCCGGAACGTGGGCGTCAACATGTACACCAACGTCAAGAACTTCACGTGGGACGCTGACGGGCAGCTGGCGGGCGTGGCGGCGCAGGAGCCGTGGAGCTTCGAGTACGACCCCAACGGCAACATGCTCTCGCTCACCTACCGGGGCAACACCATCCCCATGGAGTACAACCAGATGGACCGCGTCGTCAAGTTCGGCGAGGGCGTGTACCGCTACGACAGCCGGGGACTCGTGGTGCAGAACGCGCGCGAGGAGCGCTTCCACTACAACGCCAAGGGGCTGCTGGTGAGTGCCGACGCGGGTGGTGGCCTAGCGCTGTATAGCGCACTGGCAGGCTTTGATTGACATGAAGTTTCGTTCTTTGCTAAACTTTCTGTGCCCCGTCCGCAGGTGCGCACCAACAAGCGAGGTCGTTTTGACGTCCGGTACTACTACGACCACTTGGACCGGCTTTCCGTCAGGAAGGACAACTACGGCAACGTGACGCAGTTCTTCTACACCAACCACAAGCGCCCCAACGAGGTAAGCCGCGCGGTGCCATTGACCCGCCGACTGAGCGACCACGACATCGCTTTGATACCCTGTTCGCTCCCCTCGGCCCGCAGGTGACGCAGGTATACTCGCCGCGCGACGGCAAGCTCACGTCGTTCATGTACGACGACCGCGGCCACCTCGTCTTCGCGCAGGTGTACCGCCACAAGTACTACATCGCGACGGACCAGTGCGGCACGCCCGTCATGGTGTTCAACCAGTACGGCGAGGGCATCCGAGAGATCATGCGCTCGCCGTACGGCCACATCGTCTACGACTCGAACCCCTACCTGTACCTGCCCATCGACTTCTGCGGCGGGCTGCTCGACACGGTGGTGTCGCTGGTGCACATGCCCGGCGGCAAGGTGTACGACCCGCTCATCGGGCAGCTCATGGGCCCCGCCTGGGAGGACGTGCCCGCGCGGCTCAGCCGGCCCACGCACCTCAACCTGTACCGCTTCAACGGCAACGACCCCATCAACGTGCGGCGCCCGCG